TACCTTAACAATTAACATCCATGCTATTAAAATATAAAAATTTATAGATGCTTCATATATATAAATTAATCTAACCACTAAAGCTTTATTAGTCCTCCATTATATTTACTTGCTTGTTAATAGTAACAAAATGCTATTTTTATAGCTCAAACTAATAAAAAACATAATAAGCTGACATATCAAAAGGAATAGACTTATTATCAGGTTTAACAACCTTCCAAAACACTGTTACAATTTCAGAAAATGATAAAAACAATAAAGGGTCATAATTGCCTTCATTGCTGCCATCTTAAATGTTTGGATCTTAAACAAATCCAATAACAAAAGGATCAACTCTTGCCTTGCTTGCCTCTACAACCCAATCCAAAAGGTAACAACAGAAAAAGCATAAAAAACACAGTAAAACGTAAAAGTACGTCTTTTACATAGGGTCGATAATTTGGGCCGAACTCGACGGGCCAGCCCAAACCCGCCCAAAAAATTTAAGACCAAGCTCAAAAAATATTATTTTTTATTATTCGGGCCTATTCAGACGGCTCGAATAGGCCCGAGGAAATTTAGACCATGCCCAATCGGGTTCGAGCTTGGCCCGAATAAAAAAATAATTATTTTAAAAAATAATAAAAATATGATAAATATTAATTAATTTTTCAAGTTTTATATCATTTTATACCAAAATACTATATATATAAATGTTTTAATGTATTTATTTTTTAAAAAAATTAAAATAGTTATATTTCATATTTTTATTATTTTTAATCAATAAAATATCTTAAAATAATATTTAAAATATATTTTAATATTGATTTTAATATTTTAAGACCCAATTTTTGTTAAAAAAATTTTGAGTCCTATAAATCATTTGCATGTAAAAAAATAATTTTATTTTTTTTATAAATGAAGAGAATTAATTTTAAAGTAAAAATAAAATTGAAAATAATTTTAAAAATAAAATTTAGGCATGTACGAATTTTTGACTCTACTGTTAGATAAACATAATAAATAGAATAATATTTTTAAATAATTACTTGATTATTGTAATTTGGTTAAAAATTAAGAGTAAACTACAGTAAAAATCCTTTTTATTATGTAAGAGTTAAACAAAATAAAAAGTTAAAGAAAAATGATTTCAAAAAAATAATATTTTACTCATAATTAAATAATTTTTTATATAATATAATGATGGAAATTTTTTTATATTCATAAAAATGAAAAGTATAATTTACCTAAAAGTTATTAAAAATTTTGAACTAATCGGAATAACAATTTTAAGTTAGTAGTCTAATTGTGATTGAATTGAGATCAGCTTAATCATAATTAAAATAATATAATTTAATTAAAATATATAAAATATTTATATATGACTATGATAAGAGTAATATTTAAACAACTAAGACATTGATTTACAAGTAAAGGAAACATTCATGAATAAATTATACATAATATAACAAAATAATAACAGAGCTACTTAAATACAAAGTTGATAAGTTATTTTTATTTTATTCTTTTAAAATTAAGATAATATTTTCCACTTAATAGAATTATTTAAAAATTAAAATTGGTTCAAAAAATAAAAAAAATATTTTTAAAAAGTTTTGGGTATTTGGGCCAGCCTGAAGCTCGAAGGTGTTAGGGCCGAACTTGGCTATATGGGCTTTTTAGAAGGGATAGGATGCTTTAAGTCTGGTCCAAATAAACCCGAACGGTCTGAATTACCAGTTCTACTTTTACATATAGTAAAAAAAGAAATAGCCTAAGCTTGCCTCCATTATATGGAAAGGACACTAAAAGCATGATTTGAATATCTTGCATTTTTCATATAAACTGGGTATTTTTAAGGTTTAAAATCAACATTCACTCTCAAAATCCCTTCAACATAATCATGACACAATGATAACTCTGAAAATCTAAATATCTTGAATTTTTTATATAAACAACGAAAATCAATGCATGAAAATCATGAAACTAATTCTACCTTAGGCAGGTAACTGAGTTATGATAATGACTATCTAGGGGTATGTAGCTTTTTCCATGGAGATAAGCATGCTGGGCGACATCAATGGAGGAGGTCCGTGCAAAAGTCAATTATCTATTCTTTATGTCTTGGGTGAAGATAAAGACGAACCTATCTAGGCATATACATGTCAGGCACTTGGGTGAAACCTTTCAAGAGTTGAAGGACAACGGAGGGTAAAAATATAGTAAAAGCATCTACAGGCAGTCCCAAAAACTGAAGGAAGGACACTTTTTCCTTTCTGGTATATAGCTCAAATTGCTATTTGTAAAGCAATGAAAAAAGATTCAATATGTAACCCACGAAGCATCGCTAGAAGGGAAGAACCTAGATGTGAAAATAGATTATGTGCATATGTAAATTTGTATGACATACAAGTGAGGAAGTGTATGCACGTTGAAGATTTTAAAAGCATTGCACTGTGCCATTGTTAACATGTCCTTAATTTAAACTCCAGCTTGACAAGCATTGTAAGGTATGTGTAACAAATAAAACAAATGAAATGGTTGTAAGACTAAAATGATAAATAAACGAAAAAAAAACATAAAGTGTAACAGCCTCAACTTTGTTATGCAGGAGAGGTTGGAGGATCGAATTTGGGAAGGCTCTCCGCAAGGGGAATAATCCACACACTACTGCGGGGAAGCCTTTGTCTCCTGATACTCACCGTAAGGGGTGGGATCGCCCTGTTGTGGGGCTTGGGGGGAGAGTGTCCAGCGCCTCGGGTGACGGTGAGATCTCGAGGAGGGCTGTTACATAAAGCTAGCAATTGTATTTGAATTGATAGTTGAGAAAAATAACTTGTTCAATTTTTTTAAGTTACATCTCCACATAACTGGCATATTGTTCAGTAGTAGTTTACCACGCTAAGCACCATATATGCAACACTGAACAAGAAAGGTGAAATCATGCTCTTCTGGACAGGATTAATGGCCCTAGGACCAAGGTACAAGGCTCTGTGAACTTTTTTTTCTCCCAACTTACTATAAAAAGGCAAAAGAATGTGTAACTGATCATCCATTATGCACGGATCAAGAGTACGGTAAGATGTCAACTTAAAAAAAAAACAAAAAAGAGAAAAAGCTAATTGTTACACTCTGCGCTAGGGAACGAAGTGACTAAAAAAGGACACTCAACATATCACCAGTGTTGGAGTTCACTACATGTTGATTTTTTTTTTTTTTACTTAAAGGCTTGAAGCATAACATGAATCCTGGAACATTTTTGCAATTGAAATAGGAAAATGAACCAAGAAAGTCAACTAATAAAACAAAAGCATAGGCAGTGCTCAATCTTTGCAGACCAAAAGGAAACTAATTAATAGCTTAATCGCTTTGATTAAGGATCTATCTTCATAAAAAAAAAAAAACTAATTGCTGCAGACCACTCTTTTGTGGCCCAAATGCATGCCTTTGTAAGGGCCTATAACTTTCACTTTGTGGTTAAACAAAATGTCAGCATCAATGATTCTTGAATCTAAAATTTCTTTACCTCTTATTTTTTCAGCTTGCACTTTGGAGTCATACGATCTAATTTCTACCAATTCATAAAAAAAAGTAAATATACAATCAAATGTGATGAATTCAAGCAACATATTAACAAAAGATGGGGGAGAAGAAAGAGCAAGGAATCAACTCAACTTACAAATTTCTCACAAGCTTAGAACTATCCAGTACTGAAATTAAAGAAAGCTTTTAGTTACTTACCTATGTTAGATGGCTTTGATCTCCAAAACCACAACTCAATATTAAAGTACTGACCTATAAATAACTATAACTCATATATAAAGCATTCAAACCAACTTTTTATTAATCTTCTGCCATGTAAACAATTATAATTTTTTTTTTCAATATCAAAAGTAGAGAAAAGGCACATCCCGTACTATTATTAGTGGAGGTTATATTTCCAACTTACAATGCAAAGCCAAATGAAATTTTTAATCTTGTGATTTAGAAGCTAAATGTCACCCTTAATATACAGTATACAATTTTGCTGATCATTAAATACAGAAAATGGGGGATTAAAATGCTTATAAGTAAAGGAAGTGAATGTGAGTCAACTTCCACCAAAAACACCCAAATTATGGAAGCTATTTTATACAAATGCAAGCCATAAAATGCTGTACTGAATTTTGTTTCCTTTAAAAAATGGAGAGAGAGAGAGCCGATGCATGAATCATTACCACTAAAGTGCTTTGAATCAAATCAAACAACACGTGTATCTTGCAAATAAACTATTTGAACAGAACCTAACTAATTTCCTAATTATCTACTAAACTACTACATTATTGCCTACAATTAGTGACCCTCCCTTCTCGAATGCTATCAATTCTATTAGGATATACAGATGGCTTATCATATAACATGCAATTGACAGGTTCTCATTAATTTGCATGTATAATTTGAATACAACCAGAACGGAATATGTAATCAATACTGTTTTGGGGTCGATTCTGCTATCAATTGTTACGTAGATGCATACAAAAAAATATATATATATCGTAATAATTCTAGAATTCATTAGCATCTTAGAAATCTCCCCTCATTCTTAAGAACCTACATATAAACACATAAACTTTCAGGTGTTGCCGACACGATGGCCCTTTCTGTTACTCCGAGCGGCAACCAAGATTGATGCTGATTAATATTTATGAGAAGGAGGCATCTAATCTCTAGAGAAGGGTCTTTCCACTTCTCTGTTTCTTGCTTAGTTTTCATCACTTAGCTGTGAACTGCAAAACACAGTTGTGACAATCTCAGAACAATGCTTCCAAACTTGACTGTGCATGTATCTAGCTTAGTCAATACATAAACCTGAAAGTACTTCCAAACTTTGGAAGTCTGAAAATAACAAATAGAGCCAGAGGAGGGAACACAGATCAAAAGAACATAATGACAGTCTAAAACAAAAAACAAAAAACAAATTGGGTATACAAAGAAACCAACCAGAGGAAATCAACATAATTCTTGGCCGTGTTCTTCATCAACCCCCAATCCTTTGCTGCGTTCCTTTTTTGATTGTGTGCATCTGTGTTTCTATCCAATGCTTGTAAACACATTGAATCAAATCAGGGATTTAATCGGAAGTCGCTTGAGAATGTTTGTGATGATTTCATCCGATCCCTATTTTAACACACCGAAATGGAAAATGGAGAGAGAGCGGGGAGGGACAGAGATGCTTACAAGTGGGGAAGAGCAATGATAGGACTTCGGTGAGCCTACTGACCAAGTGATGCCTTTATCATGCGATCTTTTCATAGGTCCTCTCCAATTGTATATAGAGAATTTTACTATGCTCTTACATAAAATATTATGAAGAGTAGAAGAAGGATGCCGGCGAGGAAAAATCAGAGGCAGCGAAAGTCATTGTGTTGGGGCGGCGACCTTCCAAGTGAACCTGGAGATGCGAAAAAGACCAAGTTTGCTCCGGAAGTGCGTAACTGGGTCAGATGTAGTCCATAGGTTCTCTAATTTTTGACGTTCACCCCAGTCCTTCGCTGCTTTCTCTTTTTGATTATACGCCCCCATGTTAATGTGACCTCCAGAAGTCATAGGGGAAAAAATTCCAGGAATTGTGTGCGAAAAAAATTGAGACATTATGTGTATGATCTGATAAAGAAAAATAGATAGAAATGGAAGAAAACACAACATTGAAGAACCATGGACGCACAGTTAACGATGGAGAATTGAAAAGTTGTTTAACATACAAAGGGAAAAAGGAGAATTCAGAAAACGTATTGGAATGGCAAAGCCTGAGTGCCTGACAATGAGTGAAGGATTGGGGAAAAAGTCAGAAGTGCTCAAAGTAGAAGTGTGTGATAAAATAAGCCAGTTAAAGAGAAAATGAGCCGTCACTATTCATTGCCACAGGATTATGAGTCTAGAGCAGATGACTTTTTTCGGCGCGGCTGATAGAGTATTAGGAGATATATAGATTTAGCCAATTTTTATTGACCCGAGTCCATGGACCTGGGGCAGACAACCATAGTAATTAGCAACTCCGTTGGGTTTGGGAGCAGAGAAAATGGCGCCGTTGAAATCTCTACAGCAAGAGTATCCGCTCGTTGATTCTAGCTTCCAAGCTTTTTGCGCTTCCCACGGCATTTTCTCAGGTGCCTTTCATCTTCTTTCTTCTGCAATTTCCCAATGTATGATGTATCTCTTGCATACCCTGTGGTGTTCCAATTTGTGGCGACGACTACTAGGATTATGGAATCCTATTTCCATTTTGATTGATATATCCTCATTACTCGTTTCCGCCGTGCGACGTTTTGTTAATTTTTTGTCACTGTTTCCATCTTCTCAGTGGAAGACTTCCTCCTGTACGATGTTGATGTACTGATTTCTTCTGCGGATAAGCAGTCCACTTCGCAGAGACTAAAGCAGGTTAGGCGTACCCCCGGGGGGGGGGGTCAAATTCTTACTACTATTTATCTGTCTGTCTGCAAAATATTTAAAAAGGTCAGGCTGTTTGACATCGGATATGTAGGGAATCAATCAACTACTATATATCATAGATGCGTTGCATCAACCATTGTTGACTGGTCTGGATCTGCTTGAAGATGCTAAACGGAATAAACATTCATTATCCACCGGATGTCAAGGGTACCATTGGTGCAACTCTCGTTTTTTAGTACTGAGTCTTAGTAAATGTTGTTACTGGTTTAAATAAATTGAGCGATGATGGGATTGAAATTAGGGCTGTACAAATCACGGAATTATTTAGTGTTTCAACTTGTGTAATTCAGGATTGATGTATTGCTTGGAGGTGGATTACGTCAAGGACAATTAACTGAACTTGTTGGACCATCTTCATCTGGAAAAACACAGGTAAAAACCAATGACTGTGTTTGCTATAAAACTATGTGCTTTGACTTCTTATTTTACACGCGTTGCTACTTTAGCACGGATCTTGTTTCCTCAATATAACAATAATCGCTATCTCCCCTGCTCAGATACAAAGTATTTAAATTTTTAATCGCAGGCTTGCCTGCAGTTCGCCGCAACTGTTGCAAAGAAGCATTTGGCCTTTGTCGTATACTTGGATACATGCAATGCCTTTTCGCCCCAGTGCATTGCTCATTTCGTTGGTCGGTCCTCTAGTCCTGTCTTTAATGATCAGGTTACTGTGTATCAACCTTTTTCTACATTATTCGCTCTAGTCTATTAACTGTCCTTAAAAATGTATATTCATTGATTTGTTCTTCTTTTCTCCTTGTTTAGGCTGATCACAAACCTCTTCAGAAAGTATTAGACAGAATAATCTGTTATCCAGTGTTTGACATTTTTCAAATGTTCGATGTGTTGCATCAGCTGGAGATCAATTTGAGATCTGAGGTTCTCGACTTCTCGTTAATTATAGTTTTTTTCCCCTTTAATGTATTTCCTTCTGTCAAATAAATGACTACCGTATCCTTTTACAGATGTTCAAGTCAGATTGTCAAGTTCGATTGCTTATTGTAGATTCAGTTTCTTCGCTGATCACCCCCATCCTTGGGGGAGGTGGTCCTCAGGGTATGGTAACTATTTGCATTCTGTATTTCGTGGAATGCTAGCCAATACTTCTCATGTTTTTTTTTTTAATATATATTTTGAAATGATGTTACAATATATCTTTTTATTGCCACCTAATGGGCCAAGAGATACTCTTAATTACTTGACAAATAAGTAAAGAACCGTACTAGTCTTGCTTTCATGATGTAGTCACAGTCTTCACTAACTAAAAGAGATTTTCGGTGAATAATGCTATCTTGAGCATTTAGGCCAGGTTATATTTTACAAAGTTGTGCAGTTTCTGTTTATCTTCATTATTCAGGCATCTTCCCTCTTTACATTATTGATTTTCTTAACAATCTGTTATAAGTTCAATCTCCTAAGTTGATTGGTGGTTGCTAGCCCCTCTTTATGTTGAGGGGGGTGTAAGTTGTGGGTAGCATGCAGCTCTTAAGTTACAGATTACGTGCCCGCAAAGCAGTTAAAAAGACCTAACTCATCATCTTATGTTATAGGGAAGATCTACCTCTAAACTATATTATGCCTTATATTACTTGGTGTCGATGGGCCCATTCTAGTGCTTGATTCTTGTTTCTATAGTTCAGCCATTTTGTCAATATTTTTGAGTTTATATTTGCAATCCTTAGTGAGATCTGAGTTTGTCCGGAAAATTTGATTAATTTTTGTTGATCCTGTACAATCAGTTGTCCAGATATAAAGATGGCAGAGTTTTGTGACAGACTGGAAGTGTGCAGTTTTTTCTGTGATTTGGTGTGTATTTGGTTGGAAAGGGATGCTGAGATTTTTAATCTTGTCTTGGACCTATGGAAAAGGGTAGCAATGTAGCATAGCTTGCTTCCCTTTGATGTTCTGTCTATGGTTGTTTCAAGTGAGTCTCTTCGATTGATATGAATAAGGATAAGGTGTATAATTGTTTTCTCGGGTTCATACAATTTTTTCTCCTTCCCCCACTCTTTGTTTTTTCTTTAGGGAGTTGTTTTTCCTCCTATCTTATAATTTTCTTCGTATCTCATAAAGCTTCTTTTCCTATCCAAAAAGATAAAATGAAAACTGAGACTCTAGATGGCCCTCTGAGATAGATGGATAGAAAGGTTAATGAGGAGTTTTGTTCTCTGGATAAGCTATCTCTTGGATCATGTTCTTTCGTAGTCTATTTTGTTCTCATCAGCTGTATATCATCCTTCTATTCCACATCTAGAATTATCCATGCGTAATCTTCTTCTTCTTTTCCCAAGTTATGAAGGTCAAGCACGATAAAAGTATCATTTACTAGTTTACTTCTCTGAAACCTGAAAGTTTACATTTTATGGATGATTTCAGGACACGCTTTGATGATATCTGTTGGGTTTTTACTAAAGAAATTAGCACATGAGCATAATCTAGCAGTGTTGGTAAGTATTGCTTCTTTCCTCTTTTATTCATTCCAGGTGATAATCCTTTCAGTTATAAATGGGTAAATAAAGCAACTAAAATCCTATTTTTTTATTGAATGGGAAATTCATCCAGTGAAAACATTTGTTGCTGCAGCTGTATAGTTGGATTCTTTTTCTTCTAATCTCTTGGAAGGGGCGAGGGTTTTTAGTAGAGATGGGAAAACGGGCGGGCCTGAAGCTAAGGCCATTATTGAAATGGCTCAGGGGGCTGGTTTCAAAAAAAAAAAAATCAATATTATAATTTAATGTTTTTTTTAGAAAATAATTTAATTCAACATTGTAATAGTTAACATTATAATTTAACTCTGAAATTTAACATAAACTAAATTAAGGTTTCACATAATCTAAAAAATAAATAAAAGATTTAAAAATCTAAATACATGTTAGTTGATATCATTAGAATTCACAACAAAGTTCCAGAAACAAAATATATAAGGCATATCGATATCTCACAAAATAAGATAAGGGATCAGAATTTTCCAAGTCAAATTGAAATCTTAAAAGCGAGCATCAAATTGAAATCTCGAACATTCATAACCTAAAAAAAAAAAAGTTGTGGTTTAGGATGCTATATTATTTTATTCATTGAGACAGAGGCAATATATACAAGTTTGCGAATAAATGGAATCCCATGATCAAGCTTAAGATATTGGGATATCAGAGGAGACATAAAAATAATGATACTAATATCTTTGTCTATTCTACTAGATATTCTCTCATAAATGACAAAAAATATTTATAATAATTATGATTCTATCCACATTCCCCCTCAAATTGGATCATAGATATTAATCATATCCAACTTGCTTATGCAATTGTTAAAGGCCGGCCCATGAAGTCCTTTTGTCAAAACATCCTCAACCTTTAGGGTGGTTGGCAAATATATGAGGCAAATAGTTCCTTCTTCCAGTTTTTCTCTTATAAAGTGTTTATTTAATTCCACATGCTTGGACCTTTCATGCTGTACAGGATTCAACGCCATATTGATGGCAGCTTTGTTGTCACAATAAAGCTTTAGTGGAGCTTCCACTCTGACTTGTGTTTCATCCATAACATGTTTTAACCATAATTCTTTCATTATTCCTTGAGCTAGGGCCCACAGTTCAGATTCAGCACTGCTCTTGTAAACTACCCTTTGTTTTTTACTCTTCCAGGCTACCAAATTTCCCTATACAAAAGAGCAATACCCAAACGTTAGACCTTCTATTTGCATGAATTCCTCCCCAATCTGCATCTGTATAGATCTCTATAGTTCTCTGTCGTGACTTCTTAAAGAACAACCTTTTACCAGGTGTCCCTTTCAGATACCTGAGAATTCTATATACTACTTCCATATGTTTTTTCCTTAGATCACATATATATTGGCTAGCCACCCTTATTGGAAAGGCTATATCCGGTCTAGTGTGAGAAAGATATAAGAGTCTTCCTACAAGTCTTTGGTGCCTGTCTTTGTCTACTAGTTCATTATTCCCTTCTTCAACTTCATCGTCTGAGAGGTCTTCCCCTTCATCTGGTTCATCCTTCTTTGGTGTCATCTTTTTCTTCTTTACAACAATTGGTTTGTCGGTTGGCTTACAACCTAGCATTCCGGTCTCTGTTAAGAGGTCCAGGATGTACTTCCTTTGAGAAACATAGATCCCCTTCTTGGACCTAGCAACTTCCATTTCCAGGAAATATTTTAATTTTTCAAGATCTTTGACTTCAAATTCTCTTTCAAGAGCTGCTTTAATTCTAATAGTTTCCTCTTCATGGTCTCCAGTAATGATTATATCATCGACATACACAATGAGAATACATATCTTACCCTCCTCATTTTTAACAAACATTGTGTGATCAGCGAGGCATTGTTTGTAACCTTCAATCTTCAACACTCTAGAGAACCTATCAAACTAAGCTCTTGGAGATTGCTTTAAACTATAAAGTGACTTCTTGAGTTTGCAAACCTGTCCAACTCTTCCTTATTCAAATCTTGGGGGTAGTGACATATATACTTCCTCTTTCAATTCTCGATTTAGGAAAGCATTTTTAATGTCTAATTGATGGAGTTGCCAGTCAAGATTAGCTACAACAAATAATAACACTCTAATGGTGTTTAGTTTAGCTACAGGAGCAAACGTTTCTTTATAATCTAAACCATACATTTGAGTAAATCCCCTTGCAATCGGTCTAGCTTTAAGTTTGTTGAGGTTACCATTTTCATCATGCGTAAGGGTAAACACCCAATTGCATCCAACCACCTTCTTGCCTTTAAGTAGATCCATAATTTCTCATGTGCCATTCTTCTCTAAGGCTTTCATTTCTTCCTGGACTGCATCTCTCCATTCAGGTATTTTTAGTGTCCCATGTACATTGTTGGGGATCTTCACCTTGTCAAGGTTAGTGATAAATGCACTATATCGTGGAGAAAGAGCATTGTAACACACATACTTCTTTATCAGATGTTAGGTGCAAGATCTAAGTTGCTTTCTTACTGCAATTGGCAGATCCAGATCATTTGTAGGTGTCTCTTCCTCAGCAACCTCCTCCTCAAGTTCCATGTGGTTGGGTTCAGGAACCTCTACCAAATTAGACTCTAGAAGTGTTGTAGGCATGATGGTATTATTATCACGTTTCTTCTTCCGTTCATAAACCAGTGTAAAATCTTTTCTTTTACCTACTGGGATGGAAGGAGGTGTTTGGGTTTTAGGTAGCACAACAGGTTCAAGAACTCTCTCCCCCTCACTTTCCAAAAACTAATATTCACCACACCATTCCCCTTGAATAGAAGGTTTTGGAAAGAACAGTTCATGTTCAACAAATGTGAGATCAAAACTGGTGTAGAGACATTTAGTAGTGGGGTCATAGCATCAATACCCCTTTTGTGAGGGAGAATAGCTCAACAAGACACACTTAACTACACGAGGTTCAAGTTTGGGGGGTTGAGAAATATGAACAAAAGATGTGCAACCAAAAACTTTTAAGAGGAATTGAGGATGTGAAGTGAGATAGATTAAGAGATTCTTTGAGTTTGTCCAAAGGAGTGAAGAAAGAGAGAACCTGACTTGGCATTCAGTTAATGAGATAAGTCATAGTAAGTGTAGCATCCCCCCAGAAATATTCAGGAACATTAGATGTAAACATTAATGCTCGGGCAACCTTAAAGAGGTATTAGTTTTTTCTTTCAGCAATCCTATTTTGTTAGGGACTGTTAGGGCAAGTACTCTTGTGGAGGATACCATTATTCTTGAGAAAAGTACCCAATTGATTGTTAAAATACTCAATACCATTATCAGTGTGAAGAATTTGAATGAAAGTATGAAATTGAGTTTTGATCATAGTATAAAAGTCAAAGAAAACAGAAGAGACATCACTTTTGCCCTGTAACAGATAGACCCAACAAAGTCTAGTGTGATCATCAATGAGTGTGATAGACCATTTTGAATGTGTTCGATTAGGAATCCATGATGGACCCCATAAATCACTATGAACAATAGAAAAAGGATGAGACGATTTGTATTTAGATTGTGGAAAAGTAGTTCGATGGTGTTTAGCTAGTTCACACTTATCACAATAAAAAAGAAATTATTTTATTAGAACAAAGTTCAGGAAACAAATGAGACAAATATTGAAAATTTAGGTGACCCATTCTCCTATGCCATAACATAATATCCATAGTGGATTTATTTTCAGAGGTAGAAACTAAATTGCATTGAATGTAAGACCACAGGGTACTTGCGGTTGATTCATCTAGATAATGAAGACGATCATGTTCCTTAGCACTGTCAATCATCTTCCCCAATAGAATGTCCTGAAAAATACAATGAGTGGAACAAAAATGAGCCCAACAGTTTGCATGTTTTGTGATCTTACTAATAGATAGAAGATTGCATGCTAAATAGGGAACATGTAAAACAGATTCTAATTTCATATGCTTAGATATAACCACACTGCCTTTGCCAGCTATAAAAGAGGATGACCTATTTGCTGTGTTGATTGTTTCATTACCTACACAAGGAGTATATGTACTAAATAACTTAAAATCACAAGTCATGTGATTTGATGCACCAGAATCCACTATCCATTTAAAGTTATTTGAGGTAGAGAGGAAAGCCCATATACCTTTGTGAGCTATAGAAGCAGTAGGTTTGGATTTTTAAGATGATTCAATCTTTTGTAAGACACTCAACATATGAAGAAGTTTACCTAGTTGCTCTTGGTTCATCTTAGGAATGGCAGATGACTTAACTTGGTCATTGTCATGAGATGCTTGGTAGACACGAGACTCTCCCTTCTTTGGTTTCCAATTTGGTGGTTTCCCATTTAGGTCCTAGTATGCATCTTTAGTGTGACCTTGCTTCTTACAGTGCTCACAGGTCGCTTTTCCTTTCTTGCCCTTCAAATTGGTGGCATTGTTCTGACTAACCAATGCAAAAGGTTCCGAGGGTCAGGATGGAGGAGAAAAAGGGTCAGGCAACATTACCTTGCGCCTAGATGCTTCATGACATATTTCTGAGAAGACTTCTTGAGTTGACGGGAGGGGTAATGTACTCAGAATTCTACTTCGAATATCATCCAATGATGAATTCAGTCCAGCTAGGAATTGAAATACACGTTCATGCTCAATCTTCTCCTTATATTTCATTGCATCACTTGGATCCTTCCATTCCTCATCAGACATTTGGTCGAGTTCTTGCCAGATTACTGTCATCTCGAGCCAATACTTCGTTTTGGTGTGTTCCCCCTGCTTCAACGACCAAGTTTTTGTCTTTAACTCATACAGTCTTGCAAGGTCTTCACCATCAGAATAGGAATCACAAGTAGCAAACTAGATATTTGTGGCAGTAGGTAAAAACTTGAAGCTTCGCTTGATTTCGAGAATCATAGTGTTGATAAGCCAAGAGGAGACGAGTGAATTATTCGTGTGCCATTGTGAAGGCCTGCGATTCTATTTCGCTAGGTACCTTTGTAGCTCTAGTGAGGAAATTCATCTTGCCTCTACCACCAACTGCTAACTTGATAGCTTGCGCCCACTCACGATAGTTCAACCCATTTAGTTTGTCAATGACAATCAGTACTGAAGACCCTTCAAAGCCAACGATTGAACCATGGGGACTACTAACTTTACTCAAGTCTCTCGACAAGGATCCCATGGTCTTAGACATCGGGTCTATTATTGTACTCGTAAGCCGCGGAGAGTTCAACTCGTCTGAGGTACTGTCGCTATTAGAGTCGTTGCTAGAGACATGAAAGGTATCCAGCTCTAATACCATGTGGTTCAAAAGGCTATATTATTTTATTCATCGAGATAGAGGCAATATATATAGGTTTGGGAATAAATGGAATCCCATGATCAAGCCTAGGATATTGGGATATTAGAGGAAACATAAAAATAATGATCCTAATATCTTTGACTATTCTACCAGATATTCTCTCATAAATGACACAGAATATTTACAATAATTACGATTCTATCCACAAAAGTCTAGGCCAAAAGAGGAATTACTTGAGAGTAAGAGAGTCAAAAAGCCAAAGCAATAGAACACCGAGAGGGTGACAGAGTCAAGAGATGAAAGGGAGAGGCTAGTTAAAGGAAAGGAGAGGGCAAGAGGGAGAGGTTGAGTCGAGAGATGGAGAGAGCTAGAGAACTTGAAATGGTCAAATGTTTAGGGTTTTTTTCCATTTGTCAAATGGTGCATTCCAAGGTAGAAAGGGAAAAAAATAAAACAGGGCTTGGAGGGCTGCCTGGGCTCGAGTCTTTTTTCTTAAGGCTTATTAGGGCCGCACTCAAAAGCTTGATTATCCTAAAAATCTTTCATTTTTCAAGCCCAAACCTTTATTTAAACAAAGCCGTTAAACCTAGCCTTCTAGGCTCAACCCTTATTCCCAACTCTAGTTTTTAGTATGCCATATAAGTGTAAGCAATAGTTTGATAAAAGTTTTGACCTTATTTTTATGCAACGGATGACTAATTATTTCCTTTTTCAGACTTCATTATTAAGAAACTGGACCCTGTCTAAAATAAACACACGGACCTAGGAAGCATGCTAGTGAACGTTTGACTTTTCTGTTGTACTTCATTCTTGCATCTCCTTCATTCTTTGTTATATATGTTAAACTTAGTGTCAATTTTAGACTTCATCTCAGTCAGGGAAAGTAATTTGTATGCAAATGTTTGTTGCATTCCGATGCTTGGAGCAATAAACTTCATCTATTCAGAAGTCTTTATTGAGAAAATGCCTAAACATGAATTATGTCTGCCTGTCCTACTCCATTAACTAATGGCCTCTAAGTCGCCTCTGTTTGTTGTGAGATCATTTATCATACGTTGTTTACCTTTCTAGACACTTATCAATGCCTCATGCAGCCTGTGTTTTTATCACTTTCTGTTAAATATAACTGTCAGCCACTGAAGTTACTGTTTTTGGCCACAAATGTGTCCAACTCAGTTGTTAAATTCCTCCAAGTTTGTGGCAAATGGTACTAAGTACTAGGTAAGTATGTGGAGAACAACATGGTGCAAAGAACTTTTCTTTGCAATTTTTATCTAGAAAAAATTTCAAAAAATTACTACTATTCTATGGAATTAGCTAGGTCAACAGTAGGAAAGAAGGATGGGGGGAGGGGAGTGACAAAAGCCATGCAACGGCTGAATGGGCCTCAACTCTTAGCAATATTCTTAAACTTAAGGCTTTAATTTGTGGTGATATGGCTAGGCATCAATAAATCCTTCAGATAATAATTTTAGTGGACCTGTTGTGAAGGTGACTAATCACGTGGTGGGGGGAGACTCTGGTACTTGCAAACCAGCACTGGGAGAGAGTTGGAAGACTGTCCCACATGTACGAATTTTGCTTTCTCGTGAATGCGAGAGCGACATATGCACCTTTTCAATTCTAAAACATCCATCCATGGTAAGTCCTTTTTCCAAAAATTTCGATGGTTATCGGACACTTTTTTCTAGCTTTTATGGTCACTCTTTTTTCATTTTGTATCTAGCTGATGATGATGGATCCACATTTATTGGAAAAGGGGCGACCACCCGCTCCCTTAGGCCCCAACCAATTCATGCATGTATTGTGTCATGAGTCTCATATTGGAGAGTTTCACAGATGGAGTTAGGTTTTTAAGTGTGAGGAGCTCTCTTACCCAATAGGCTAGTTTCTTGAGGTGGGGGCTTTCTCTTTAACCTGTTCTCATGATATTGGAGTTTTCATTGATAGTTCAGAGTCACAAAGATGGCCGAGTGAAGTGTCGTAAAATAGAGCCCCGCTAGGGACATAACTCTTGAACAGGATGGTATTGTCATGAGTCTCACATTTAAGAGCCTTACAAATAAAGTAGGGTTTCTAAGTGTGAGGGACTTTCTCACCAAATAGATTAGTCTTTTGGGATAGGATATTTCTTTGGACTTGTACTCATAACATATTGTCTATTATCTATGTGTTTGTTACCTTGCAATCTCAATCCTGTCTTGTCGCATCTAATTTAAACCTATAAAACCATTTTTCACTTAGCACATGCAGGTGTCCCCTTAATTTCCATAGCACTAGATTTTAAGATCAATCAAGGGTTGTTTGTTTATGAAATAAATTAACAAGGTTTTTTAAGCATTCTTTTTATTATTTGTAATAAATAAATTTTTTTCTTTAACTAAACTCAATTAATATTATTTTATATGTGTAACTGTGGAAGCTGCTGTCTTCTGTTCATCTTTTTCAACCATTTATTGTATTATATTTTAATTGGAATTAAACCGATGTAGAAATTGATGTGTTTAATTTTCCCGTTCTGTTTCAGGCTTCTGGTCGGGCTGCTTCAGAGATGGTAATGCCTTCAATATTTTAACTTCTATATGTTCCCTTTTTAAACTTAAATTTTAATTGTTCTATTAGATTTGTTCCATTATCATCATTATTCATTAGAAAATCTCACAGCCTTTTATTTTCTGAAACTCATAAAGCACGCCCATGATTTGGTTTCTGGTCTCAGCAGCTCACCATGAAGCATTAGAGAAGGAAATAGAAAGACAAACAGATCCTGCAGAAGATGGAGAAGTCTGTGAACAATAATAATGACCATCAGCTCCACTCTCCACCACTGCCACCGATAACAACGTCATTGCCAGTGGCGGCACCACCACCAACACAGGCACAACCACCACTAACGCCACTGTGCTCTCAGCCTGTAGGATGTTTGGACAAGGAACGGCCTATGAGTTCTCGTGTTTTCCCGCACTTCAATGTCCACTATTTTTTTTTTTTGGGGGCCTCTGACATTTTCATGAGCTATGAAGTAAATTTAATTTGTTTGAATAAATTGAAGGGGAAAAAGTAATTATTACTTCGGATTAATTTGGTTGGGAATTTAGTTATTGCACATTAAATAATAACAAAATAAAATACATACATGTTCAGGCTAAGCAGCGTAAGGTTTGATTAGAACCTTGCCCAAAGCCCGCCCTGGCTTGGACATGATCGGGCTGTTGAGCTGCCTGCACAGCTTAATTTGCAGGTGCGGTGAAATCAATGATGGGAAGGGTGCGTGCAAATAATGGTGAGCGCCATTGATGCCATCTATTGTAAGATATGTTTCCCCTTTTCTTTTGACAAGTTATGAAGGCCGAAAGCAGGTTAAACAGTTTTATTCGTTAAACATTTTCGAAGAGGTTGGGCCATCCATAAAATTCCAAACGACTGGAAGGTCCAATTTTTGGGGCCCAAGTGTTCTTGAAGCCTGGCATTATGTGCCCCATGATTATTTCATTCGATAGAGAAAGAAAGGCGTCTGCAATAATTGCTGCCATATTTAGAACATTATTTTGATTCTACACTTTTTTACTTCTTATTTTTATTGTTGATGTACCTTTTATTTCTTTTAAAATAAAAATAACATTCTGGCGGAGTGTCCCCTCATAAGCAATACCTGCTGAATACGTTAAATGCGTTAAAACATAAATTTAACTGCATAAAGTGTATTGTGCAAAACTATTTTATTTGTAATTTATAATTAGTTTGATTTGCTATAGATACAGATTTTATTATATATTGGTATTAGGCTGAAATTTGCCAAGAAAATGAATACTCCCTCTGGTCTTTAATATAAGGAAAATTTTGAAAATTTTGTCTTGCTTTTAATATAAGACAATTAAAATAATTATAATTTTACCTCTGGATTATTTATTATAATTTAAATTTTTTATAGTTATTAATTTTAAAGAATGGTAGAATTAAAAAGTTACATATTTTTTTTTAGCATTCTTAAAGATATAATTATAATTTTTTAATAAAGGCAAAGTCAAGTTTGGTTTATATTAAATATTGGAGGGAGTATAAAGGAAGAAGAAAGGAAGAGGGTGATTGAACTTGACTTGGATCACATCCTGCAAAAAGCTGATCACAAAATCTAATAATGATTTGGTCATACCTGTAAGGGTTGTTAGTTTGATTTTCAAATTTCAATAGCCAAATGAAAAGGTCAGATTTAAAACCACCAAGGCCACGAAAGGAAGAGATTGACTTGGGTTGGTGATAACTGATAACAGTTTGTTTATAGCCGCCATGGTATTGGCTGGCCGGTCCTTACAGGATAATTCTGAGGACATTCAAATTAAAATCATGTGAATTAATATACCTTTTAGAAAGTAAATCATTTGTTAAATTTATTATTTACCATTATCTAGACATGTGTTGTTTTTTAATATCGACTATACTCTTTTTTAGCAAGTCCTTCTTTTCAAAATTCGAATTTAAATATGTGCAAGGTAAGCAAAGAAGTCTCCTACTTGCCCTTGTTTCTTAGATCACACTCATTATTCCAAAAATAATATGAATTCAAATTTATATTAAGGATCTGAACTCAAATACTACATCCTACCGTATTAATTATATTTCTTCTAATTGTTTCAGATATTCGCTCTGGGTACAGATGAACTGAACAAAGAAAGTGGAGGGAAAATTATATCTTCAAACCACCTAACGCGCCATCTTTTTAATTTAACGTCATGGTTAGGATCATCAACGTTGAACATTTCCCTCGAGTGGCAGGTACACGCTCATCTTTCGTTTCTGCATATTTTATACATGCAGAGGTAGGGACAGTGGGGCCCAGATGCAACTATGTGGACGCGTTTCGCAGGCACGAGCCCCTCCAATCAGCTTAAAACATTTCAGAAGTCAAAAACTCAAAGCCATGGGATGAGTCAATGACAGTGTATCAATAATTTGCATCCCGTCAGGCTACGCTTCTTTTTTCCAAGTCAAATTTATTGATTAATGCCGCTGGCAAAATCATATTTTTAACAATTGTAGCTTCTAAGGGTGTGTTTGAATTAAGACTAGATAAAATTAATTCAAATGATTAGTTTTAATATAATTAATTTTTTTGGTACAATTGATCTATCAGAATTAATTAATGAAATTGATTTTGAGTATAATTGGAAAGCAAAATGTAAAATAACATAAAATCATAGCATGAAAATCCAAGCCAACATGCCAGGTTAAACCAATAAGTTGTTAAATCATAGTTTGATCATGATTTGACTACGGCTTCGATCATTAACTAATGAACTAATACTTTAATTGATTTAACGACCAGCCTAGTTTTCATTATTTTGAATAAAAATATGATTTTGTGAAAATATATATAAATCCCTCTTTACATGCTAAAATCATTTATCAACTCCAATATTAGTTTTATTAAAAATATTCAAACACCTATTATTAATCAAATTTGTACATAATCAAATTTATTCAACTGAAATCCAAACACCCCCTATTACATGTTAAAATTAAATATGAACTTAAACATTGATTTTCTTAAAAGCAAACACACATCTATATATACATCAGAATCGGTTATGAGCCAAAATCATACTTATCTCATAAGTCACTGTTATTTGCTTCTCAATTTTTCTTTTCCAAAAATCTGTCCAAAAACTAGGTAGAATTTATTTTATAAATCATTATTTTTGGTTTGTAATTGATTTTGACATGCATATAAATATTTGAACATTTTAATTAAGTAAATTGAAGTTTTGAGTTTATAATTAATTTTGACATGTATAATCAGTGTTTGAATGATAATTTTTTTTAAAAGTCATAGTTTTAAGTTTTTTAAGAAAAAACATAACTTTAAATTGCTTCATTTTACTCAAGTTTTGCTATAGGTATTTGTACTTTTTTTGTGTTCTCAATTCCTAAATTTTTATTTTTTGATATTCTGTTGGGATCAAAAATACAAAAAAAAAGTAAGAACTTATAAAAAAACTCAAATAAAGTGCAAAGACTTAAAATTATGTTCTTTCTTTTTTTTTTTATCATCATAGTTTTAAGTTTATAATTAATTTTTATATATAATAAGAATATATTTTTTAAATTATAAGACATTTCTAGATACAATGACACATACTAGCAAATTATTGTTATTAACACTATCAACACATTAAAATTTACTGGTTTGAATTTAATTGGATAAAAAATATATTAAATATACAAAATTTATGTAAATCTTGTCGTATGTAATATACTCATAATATTCAAGCAGAGAAATGCTTCGTGAACTACGTACGTTAAGCTTTTATTTCCACAGCTACCATATGTAATCTCACTTTATTTCTCGTTTAATCCGATCATTATTCTTCATTTGATTCTTTGACGTGTCCTTCACGCATGACTCCTCTCTTTTCCCCACTCTAGAGTTTTACTATAGCTTTTCATTTAAAAAAAAAAGAGTTTTATTATATCTCTTCCTTTTCAGTTTTATGGAAAAAAAAACAGTACAGATTTGCGTTGGCTCGGTTTATTTATTGTTTTGTAATTAAAACCAATTAAGTAAAAAACTGTATGTATGCAATAAGAAAAATAGTTATTATCTTATACATAAATCATTTTCATTGGTTTAGCTTATATGCAAGTGACATCAATGAAGTGCTGAAATGTGTTTTTTGGTTAAAAAATTCGAATTTTAAATTTAGGTTCCCGATTGATTGTATTACCGTGACGTGTTGAAAACTACATGAAAAATATTCGTTTTAAAAAGTATACTAATGTTATAAAAAAAGTATATTAAATATTGGTTGTCCACTCATCCTTGTCTTTTAATAAGTTAAAAATTGGCCTATTAATAATTGTCGGGTACTTAAAAATACTCTCATGGCATGCAAATGTTTTGTAGTAAAGAATATTTGGCCGAATTAAAAAAACAGTGCTAATGAATGCCAATTACTCACCCTAAAAAAAAATTAACTCGAGAGTTGGATTTGACAAAAATTGAAAATAATGTTATCAATTTTAGCATTTAAATTTCTCATACAATTTGTATATGAGTAAAACATTTAATATTCTGATATATCCTCTATTTTACCTTAATATATATATATATATATATATCATTTCTATTTTTGAAACCTATGTGAATCTCCTTTGATATAATTACTTCTTATAAAACAAAAATTTTTCCTTTATTTTTAAAATTTTATTTCCACTATCTAACAATTAATTGACGGGTAAGTCATATATATTAGATAAAATACCCCTTCTTTATATCTATAAATTTTGTCTAAAAATTATTCAAATTACAAAAAAATTAATGCATATATATTTTTAAATTTTCATTTATATTTTAATTTTTTTAATTATATAAACGTATTTATGTGGTAACATTTTCTAAATTCATAAATTGACTAAAATAATATTTCAAATACAACTAAACTACTTAATGAAATAAGAATATAATATAATAAATTACTCAATATAGTATGTATTTATTTTTAAAATTTTTATTCATTTTAACACAAATTTAAATTATTTATTTAAATAATGACATACTCAATTATTTAAGTTTTTGAAATTGGGAGAGAAAGTAGATAATTAGATCATAAGAAAAAATAATAATTTAAAATTTTCAACATAATTATAGATAAAACTTAAGTATTTTTTTACTCTTTAACAAAGTATTTTTAATGGTATTAAAAGGTAAATTTTGAAAATAAAAAATGGTACTCATAATTTTAGCAGAATGGAGATAAGGTCATTATATTTTACTCCTTATATCCCTGTGTGTTGTGAAAACCGAGGAAAAGCCCCTAAAACTTTATTAACTAGAGCCAAGCGCCCAATCGGAACTTGTCTTACACGCGGAAGTCATCTACCTACCCGAACCTAACCACTGAAAGCAATGTTTGGCCAAAAAAATAAAAAAAAAAAACCAGTGAAAGCAATGTCAACACATTTTTAATGGTTTCTCGGCGCTAGGAGATATTCTCCACGCATATTAAAAAAATTATTATATTATTTATTTTCTTTGGGCCAAACAATACTTAATCCCTCTTATCCAAATGTAAGACTTTTTTTTCCCTCATATAATCTTGTTTAAAATATAAAATACTTTGCATCGTTTGAAATTAATCCGACTTTCCTGCATGATATTTCATTAAAAAATTATTGACATGATTAATCAAAAAATTATTAACATAAATATTTTTTTCTAATTTAATTCATTATTGATAGAATGATAGTTGAGGGTAAAGGTTGAAAATAAAAAATGTGATATATATTTTATTGAAAATAAGAATATAGCTGAAAAAATAATTAAAAGTGGTTTGCATGATTAAAACATTATTTTATATTTTATATTAGTTTATAATATGGGGGAGGGGAGTTCGGAAGATCACGAGGTCAAATTGACAAAGGACCCATGATCCCTTTTTCGAATTTTCTTATTTGTTTTAGCTTATTTATTAAAAAAACTTTTTTTTGAATATATATTTACATGTGTGTGTTGTGAGTTTTTATAATGTTTATTTAAATTTTAAAAATAATTAAAATAAAAAAGTAAATTTTTAATTATTTAGTTACTTTGAATAGCTTGTGAAATCTAAAATTAATTAATACAATAAATAAAAAAAGTGTTTTAAAAAGATCAATATGTAAAGATATTATAAAATTTTAAATAATATATAAAATAATAAATTATTTTATAAAGTAAAAATTAGAAAATATATTATAAAATTTAAACATAACAAATTGATAATTACTATTTTATCATTTTAATTAAATATAAAAAATATCTTCTTTTTATAAAATTTGTACAGAATAAATATTTTTTATAAATTTTTTAAACTATATAAATTTTTATTTTTTATTTTAAATAAATGGGCATCGGATAAGTTTATATTTCAATTGAGTTACCCTTAAAAAGCATGTGAGTATTTTTTTTTTAGGAGAATCTCACTCACAGTCTTGAAAATACAAAAATTTGCACTGCAAGGCTAATGGAATCTAAAAAATGCACTGCAAGCTCAAGGTTTATTTTTGCAAATGTTATTGTGGATAAAAAAATGCACTTATCCTTGTCTTCATACAATGTTCATTGTACACGTAACACAATATCCATGAATTATTAATACAATATTCATGAATGTGCAACAACTTGAAGTATGTTGTTTGACATAGACTTTATATTGTACAAATGTTGTAGATTTTATATGTTCAATGTGTTAAAAATTGATAAATATTGTGTTGTATATTCATGAACCTTGTATTGTTCACCATTTGTTTGCTTGTACATTTTACTTTAAGTTAAATTATATCGTGCATTCATAAACATTATGTTGAGAATTTGTGGACATTGTGTTGTAAAGGATGGACACGCCTTTGAGACAAAAATAATTGTGTCTTTTCATCCACAACAAAATTTGCAAGAAGGGGTCTTAAGCATGTAATGTGTTTTTAGATTCTATTGAGCTTGCGGTATAAATTTTTGTGTTTAGAGGCATTAAATGAGATTCTCCCTATTTCTTTTAGTTATAAATGACAAGGCCAAGGCTTGAAGAATATATCTTCAGTGCTCAACAGTTACAGGTCTACATATGTTCATTGTGTTAAGAATTAATGGACATTATATTATATATTCATGAACATTATGTTGTTCATCATTTGTTTACATGTACATTTCACTTCAAGTTAAATTATGCCCCTTAGATATATTGTGCATTTATGAACATTATATTTCCACAATAAAATTTGCAAGAAAGGCCCTCGGACTTGTAGTGTATTTTTAAATTCTATTGGGCTTGCAACGTAAATTTGTATTTAAAGATCTTAAATGAAAAATGAGATTCTCCTTTTTTTTTTTTTTTGAGTTACAAATGGCAAAGCCAAGGCTTGAAGGATTTGTCTTTGGTGCTCAGCCTATTGCTGTGCATCGTTTTATCATCCAAAAAATTTTTGGCTGTGCATATTTAATTTGAATGGTCTATTTTTTAAAATTAAAATTTAATTTTATATTCATTAAAAAAATTATAAATTTTTTTGATAAATATGTTCATAATTAATCTAGATGTTATTAATTTATTTAGGTAGTCCAATTTAATATTATAATTTTTTATAATTTAACTATTTGGATGTACTTTAGACAATATAAATTTAATATTAAATTCAAATTGTTCAGAGTGCACTGAGATAATCAATTTATAAAATTATAAATTAAAATTAAATTACTTAAATTAAATCAATACCATATGATAAATATATTTATAAAAACACTTATAAATTTTTATTTTAAAAATATAAAATTAAAATTAAAAAATATGGACCAAATTTTTCCTAACTGACGAGACCGTGCGTAGCAACTGTTGAGCACCGAAAGAGAAGAAAATTACATAAAAGCTACTCTCGGTCGTTAAAAAATGCAAGACATTTTTTTGAGAAATTAAATGTTAAAAAATATAATATATTTTTAATCTTTTGAAGTGTAATTATTATATTTTTTAAAGTGTACTTATTAATAATAATTTTATATTTATTGTAGAACGTTTAGTAGAGATAAATATAAAAAGATAATATTAATTTAAAAATAAATAATTATTTTATTAAAAAATAAAATTTAATTAAAAATATTTTATATTTTATAATGAAGTAATAATCAAGAGCATATTGCTCAGTGCATGCGTTTGGCGCACTCGTGAAAAGTAATCCCAACACTGCCAATGTGGCCGTTCGATCTTTGACATGATGTCAGCGGCACGAAATCCCCTCTCTCCTGATTAGCAACGAGGTTTATGACCGAGAAAGAATGTGAAAGTCGAAACTTCAAGTCACTTTTGCCATCCACAGGTACTAGTACGACTGACTTTGATCAGTATTTTATTCCCATCTACGAATCTTACCTACTCCTTTTTTTTGTAAAAAAAGGAAAAATCACAATTACAGACCCATAAAAATATTAATGAGAATTACAAGTTCTAAACATTTTTAAAATAATGTAATTTAAAAAATATATTTATGTATCGTTGACATTTTTATAATAACATCTTTTGTTTTTAAGCAATGGAGTGTACTACATATACAATGTTTAGATTAGAGCCTCTAATTAATAGTTTAAGTGACATGCCAACTTTAATTTGTTAACATTTTACTTTACGTCGATACAATAATGAAATGCAGCATGTTGTTTTAACTTGAATAAATGAAAATAAAATTCTGTTGAGTCAAACAAATACAACTCCTGAAGTTCATATGATTTTATAAAATAAAAGTTAGTCTCTATTCTCTTCTGAATCCTTCATTATAAATGTCAAAGCACATATTAAATTGAGATTCCACTTTTAATTATAGAATTTGGAACAAATGATTATACATGACAATTAGCTGGTGTGGATCTGTAATAAAAAAGAAAGATAATTTCTTTTTCTTTCGATATTCCACTAGTCCAGTAACCAATATATATACTAGCTGAAGAAGTTTAGTATTCAGAAAATGTCTCTTTTTGGTTGTTGTTAAAGAGACACACAGCATTATCAGGTGGTGAAGTGTGTATCTACTGGAACTTCAGAGTCACCCCCACACACAAGATATTGAGATTCAAATTATATGTGTGCATATGCAGGAGATATTGGATCGTAGCTCGGTTTTACGAATAAACAATTGACCATAGAAAGCACTTGTTAATTAATCTAAATTGAAACAATCTCTGCATAAACAATTCTGAATTCTCTCTAAAATGCGCTAAAGTATTCATAATACTAAACCCTTAAAATTATAATTTGCATTAATTAATTTATGATTCATGAATCAAAACTACGCAATTGCAAACGATGACAAAACAACATGTGCGCTAGCGATAATCAAGCATGACCAAACGAAATGCAGAAGACCGTCAAAAATGGGGGGCACCCCCCGTTTTGCTGAACCAAAAGAAAATTAATAACTAATTACATATATAATAGCATCTAATACTATTCAATATTCCACACTACAATATGTCTTGAAAAGAAGTTATCGGTGAACCCATCCTTTCCATGAAGGCTAAGATAAATAAATTAAATAGCTCAGTTTTTACTTTTGCAGATAAAACGTAGAGGGAGAGGTGATTGACTGCGGCAGAAATTTTTGTCAACGGAAAAAAAAACTCGGACTAATAAATGGTTGTATTCAGGAACTGAGAGGGGCAATCTTTTTGACCTCGTCTTTGGTCAACTCCACCATCCATCCCCACGTTGAATATGATGATCATACCCAAACACACCACCAAAACACATAACATGTCTTCTACAGTAGACTAAGGAGCAATGCAAGTTGGGAATATTATAAATTAATTAACTAATGCTATTTATTTATTCACATCACTGTATAATTATTCTTCATCATAGCGCCTCCTGTGCGATGATTTTACTGGGTCGTCTCATAGCAATTAATCAATCAGCACACGACATTTTCCCTTCCCTTTCGTGTCCCCGTATTATATATACACACACCCAAGGGAAAGCTCATCATCATTCATATCAAGCATAATCTCTATTCTCCCGAACTTGGGAAAGCCCAAAAATGTTGCCTCAGCTCGTGTTATTAGGGGTGATCCTGGTAGCCTCAGCTTGGCTTCTTTCAAAGAGAAAGAGCAAGTCGAAGCCGAGGCCAAGCCTTCCGCCGGGTCCGGTGGCTCTGCCCATTGTCGGCCACCTTCACCTTCTGAAGCCTCTGGTCCACCAGGCCTTGCGCGACCTCCAAACCAAATATGGCCCTCTCATGCACCTCAGGCTTGGCTACGCCGACATGGTCGTCGCCAACACTCCCGAACTCGCAAAAGAACTCCTCAAGACCAACGAACTCGCTTACTCTTCTCGTAAAATGAACGTTGCCATCAACCTCGTAACCTATGACAACGCCACCTTTGCCTTCGCTCCCTACGACACTTACTGGAAATTCATCAAGAAGCTGAGCACCACCGAGCTCTTGGGAGCCCGAACCATCAGGCAGTTTCTTCCAGGTCGGACCCGCGAGATCCACTGCTTCATTAAGGACCTCGTGGATAGATCCGTGGCCCGAGAGAGCGTCAACCTCACCCAAGAGCTCCTGAAGCTCTCCAACAACATCATCTCGCAGATGATGCTGGGCATCAAGAGCTCCGGAACGGACAGCCAGGCGGAGGAGGCTCGGAATCTGGTTCGGGAGGTGACGCAGATGTTCGGAGAGTTTAACGTCGCTGATTTTATTAAAATATGCAAGAACTTGGATGTTCAGGGCTTTAAAAAGAGAGCCATGGACTTGCACAAGAGGTACGATGCTTTCTTGGAAAGGATCATCTCCGCTCGGGAGGAACTTCGAAGGAAACGAAAAGCTTCTGGGAAGGCAGATGACGCTGACGACGGAGAAGAGAAAGTCAGGGACTTCCTTGACATTTTGCTCGATGTCGCCGAGGATAAGAATTCAGACGTTTCTTTAACTAGGAACCACATAAAGTCATTAATTCTGGTGAGTATACACGCCTCCTATCCCTGGTGCCTAAAAGGATTATACCCGTTGCCCCGGATATAAAAATATTTTTTAGATGTTTAACATCTGAGATATAACACATGAGTCACCTCTCTATCTATTAAATTCTTATTTTTCATAAATATCTTTACTCATTATATATATATATATTATATAATATATATTAAATATTTGTTTTGGCCGGGAATTAACCAGCAAGGCGCACAGTTATCCTCTTTTAATTTTCTCTTCCTAGAAGAACAAGGATATTAGATAGCCCACTATCATTGAATATTACTTGGATGATATATCAAGTCCCTAGTGAAAGTACCTTTGAACCTAAATCTCATTAAAAACCCTTTTTTTTTTTATTACGATTGTTAGTATAACCGCATATCTGACTTTTCTAAATTGTCGTGGCTGAAATAAAGGATTACTTCACGGCAGCAACGGACACAACGGCGATAACAGTGGAATGGACAATCTCGGAGCTGATAAATAACCCAAGAGTTCTGAAAAAAGCGCAAGAAGAGGTAGACAGAGTGACAGAACACAAGAGACTGATATGCGAAGCAGATATCCCAAACCTTCCATATATTAACGCAATAATAAAAGAAAACATGAGACTACATCCTCCCATTACTATGATCACCAGGAAGGGAATCCAAGACTGCGTGGTGAGCGGCTACTTGATCCCCAAGGGAACGATCATGTGCGTCAACATTTGGGCTATGGGCAGAGATCCAAACATATGGGAAGCCCCTTGGAGTACAGACCAGAGAGGTTCTTGGAGGGAAAAGAGAGTGGCTTGGATATCAAAGGCCATCACTATGAATTATTGCCTTTCGGTTCGGGCAGAAGGGGTTGCCCTGGTCAGCCTCTGGCCATGCAGGAACTGCCCGTCGTGATCGGCGCTCTGGTTCAGTGTTTCACGTGGAAGCCGCTCGATTCAGAGGGGAAGATCATCGGCAACGGGAAGACCATTGATATGGATGAACGGCCAGGGCTGACTGCTCCCAGAGCCAATGATCTATCGTGTATTCCAGTCGCACGATTGAACCCTGTTCCTTTCCTTCAAGTTTGAGCCACGAGATCATGCCACGCGCTTTTCTTTTTTGCCTTTTCTTTTATAATACAAGCCAGTTTGGTTGACTAGAAGGATGGCGCACACATATATTTTGTTGTTTTAATTAATGTTTATAGAATTTGCGAGTTGTAAAAAGAGATGGTACAGTGGTACGTAGTGAATTTCTCTCCGTTCCAATTAATAAAGCTATTATACAAATAAGAATTTGATTTCTCGCATTCAGTTTGGTTTTGTTTCTGTGTTTGGTGAGGCCGGCTGCCACGTACTTTCTTTTGCTTGGTAGTTGCGCGTCGCATGCACAATTTGAAAGCAGTGTATTAAGAATGTGAAAGGAGATTTAATTATACGTGATACCAACAATATGTTTTCACCACAAAAAAACAGCTGATTAGCTTTTGTCGTTAATCAGTAAAAATTTTATCTCTAAACAAATTAGCGACGGAATATTTTTGTCGATAAAAACTTTATCACTAATTTATTAGCAACGAAATTTGTAATTTTGTCGCTAATTAGCGAGACGGAATAGCGATGAAAATTTTTTCGTCATTAAATAAGGATGAAGTTATTCTGACTTTGTGACGGAATGTATTCCATCGTTAATTTTTCAACAGGCTTATTCCGTCACTAATTTATTAAGTAGACCAAAATATCATTGCCACATCACTCGTGGACCAATGCCACCTCACCACCACCTAGTCACTCAGTGGACCAGTGCCACCTCGCTGCCACATCCTAGTCACCCAGTGGACTAGTGCCATGTCATCGTCACTTCATTTGTCACTTCCATATCAAATATTATAACCTTCAATTGTATCTTGGCTAAGTTTAAACTTACAACTTCATACTCCCATGTGCTTTTGCGTCTATTTTGTTGCTAGTTGAGCTTAGGGCTATGTAAAAGTTTTTCAATCCTGTTTGGTTTAGTCCAACTCGAGATGATCTCAGTCTTATTCGATCCATATAGACACTGGTTCTTCAAAACCAAAAAGACTGAAAAGACTAAACTATTTTTTCGGGTTAGATTGGACAACTAGGTATCCAAACCACTTGGTCTAGTTCAGTCCTATTAATTTTTTATTATAATTATAATTAATTTATTTTTAACAAATGTTTGAAGTGTAATGGATGTTAAGGAGATAACTGTATGAAAATTTGTTGAGTTTGTTTTTAAATTATTATTGTAATGTAGTGTTGTTGAATTTTATTGAGTGTTATTTTTTTAAAGTTATAAATTTAAATCATTTGGACTATAACAAAAATATTTTTTCTTATTATTTAAAATTATTATGAATTTATTATTATTATAAGTGTTTTTGCTATCTTAATTGAGTTTATTATGTCAAAATGGATTATTACTTCTCATAGAATAAAAAAGGAAAAAAAAAAGCTAAATGAGTATTGAACTGACAGAATCAATTTTCTAGTCCTATGGACCAAGTCGTTCCTGTTAATTTTTGAATTATCGTTGGATAAGACTGAACTATGGGTTAGGGTGAAGTTCAGTGTCATCCTATTTTTTGTGCAGCTCTAGTTGAGATGAAAGAAATCTTCAGTCTTAATTGATAAATTAAATATATAATACTTAACCACACATACATAAATCAATAAATATATAATTTAAATTATTATTAAATATATTATTTAAATTTACTTGGTTTTTTAACATTATATTTTTTTATTAATATGGAAAAATTAATTTATATATAATAATTATTTCTATTATATTTTTAAAAAAATTTAGTAATAAATTTAATATTAGATTGAAAAATATTTTATTATCATTATATATTATGTTATAATTTGTATCTATATAATATAATATTTTAAATTTTTATTTTATAATTATTTTATTTTTATTTTTAAATGAGAATAATTAAGTATACCATTTAAATTATTATTAATAATATACAAATAATTTAAAATAATAAATTATTTTAAATTATAATTTTTAAATTATTTATTTATAGCATGATAATAAATTATTAAATAAATTATATATGAATATATATTATAAATAATAAAATTAAATTAAAAATAATTTGTGACTGAATTAGTGATGAAATTATGACAGAAAGCTTTGTGACGGAATTTTTTGTCACAAATTTTGTCACTAAATTGAAATAAAATATCCTAATCATTAGTGATGAAATTTTTTGTTGATAAATTATTTTTGACGGATTAGCGACGGAATAATAATAAAATTTTATTGACAGAATATACTAGTGACGGTAAATAATGATAAATTATTTGTGTCAGTAAATTAGCGATGGATTAGTGATGAAAAATTTTTCTGTCGCTAATTCGCTATTTTTTGTAATGTTTTGTTATATATGGCTGCTTAGTTATGAGTTATTGACTTGTATATGGCATTGAGTGGTTAATTTAAATATTTGGGAACGAGCTGGTTAAAGCCAAAACATTCACACACACACGCACACATATATGCATCCATCAGTTATATTATAAAATAATCACGTACAGGTTAGTAAACTAAGTTAAGGTTAATCAGTTCTAGCTATATGTGAAGGTGCTTCTTTTTTTGGACAAATAGTTGAAGCCTTACGTGAAGGTATTCAAGAAGGGCCTTGAAGGAGTTCAGAATGGATGAATGGGGCGAAGTGTGCTGCTGACTTCCTGAGGTAGCTCCTGAATCTAATTATATTACTTCTTCCTTCAATTTTTAATGCATGACCTAGTTCCCGCAATTATATTAAAAAAATCAATTAATTATATTATTTATTGGTCATTAACGTGTCAAAATTTTGTGACTAAAATACCCTTCAAATGCTGTATGTCTAAGCGGTTCTTATTTATTTATATATTTTGATGAATTAATGAGTGTAATTTGTTTTGAAAATTAAAACAACAAAATCGACTGCCTTTTAAAAAAAGAAAAAAAGAAAAGAAAAGGGTGAGGTGTTTTTTTTTTTTTTTTTTTTGGGGTGGGGGGAGGGGAGTCCACTCATTAGCTGGATGACGACGCAAGACTTCAACAATGGCCGGCACCCTATAATTCATTAAACCATATCCAAGCTAAATTAGCGGATCGTACACATATACATGCATGTATGTGTATATTGTATGCATTCTCTCGTTCAAAATTACAAACTATTTTTAAAGACAAGACTTGCATACTTAATTTTACATACTTAATATACTTTTATCTAATTAAATTAAGATATTATGTGTTTATAATATTAATAATATAAATTTATTATAGAATAAATAATCAATAAAAGATTTACATATCATAATTTAATTGAAAACAAGTACATTAAATATATAAAGTTGAGTATATAAGTTTTTTCCTAACTTTAATTAAATTTTATTGACCAAATTTTTAATTAACATTTACTTTCAAGAAAGCAATTAACATCATTAAAAATTAACTACTCTTTTCATTATTATTTTTATTTAACAAGATAATTTAATTATAAATAGATAGTAAATTAGATTAATTTCAAATAATTATTAAAAATTTTTCAAAAAAATTCTCTCATAAAAAACACTGAAATAATTTATATTTTTGAACACAATAATTCTTTAAAATGTATTGTAATTTCCAATGAAGTGATCAGTCAGAGCCTAAAATCTGTGAGGTGAAAAGAATATTTATTTTTAATAGAAAAAAAAGATTATTTATTTTTTCTAACGTCGAACACAGCTGGCAAGGGCGCTTTAACTCTTTCAAGTTTGCCTTCGTTTCTTGTTCTATAAATCAAGCATTCATGCTTCACAGAACATGTGCCTACCCTACCACAGTGCTACCCGTATTACCGGCTTTGAATTAATATTATTTAGTGGATGGCGATCAAGATAAATGTTATAGAAAAAATATCAATCAATGACCATTATAAGAAATTTATAGCATTCAAAGCTGATAATTTGAATGAGGAAGACTTGTTTGAATCAAGCTTAATTTGAGTCAAGTTTATTTAAATTAAGCTTAAAATATCCTATTCTTTTTAAAAAAACTCATATAGTCAAACTCGACCTTAACACTTTCAGGCTTTAGCTTTTAGAAAACATTTTTTCTTTTTTTGAACTAATTTTAATTTTTAAATAATTTTATTAAGTACAAAATATTATTTTAACTTTAAAAAGATAAAATAAAAATAATAACTTATCAACTTTGTAGTTAAGTAGCTCTGTTACTATTTTACTGTATTTTGTGTAATTTATTCATGAATATTTTCTTTGCTTGTAAAGTAATGTCTTAGTTGTTTAAATATTACTTTTATCATGATCATATATAAATATTTTATATATTTTAATTAAATTATATTATTTAAATTATGATCAAGTTAATCTCAATCAATTATGGTTGGACCACTAACTTAAAATTATTATCTGGATTAGTTCAAAGTTTTTAATAACTTTTAGATAAATTATACTTTTTATTTTTAAGAACATAAGAAAAATATTCATCATCATATTATACAAAACGAAATTATTTAAATATGAGGCAAATACTATTTTTTTTTGAAATTATTTTATTTTTTAAATTTTTATATTGTTTAACCCCTACATATAAGAAATATTTACTCAAGTTTATTTTTAATTTTTAACTAAGTCTAATGTAGATGATAACTAAATAATTATTTAAAAATATTATTCTATTTATTATGTTTATCTAGTAGTAGAATCAAAATTCATACATATTTGAATTTTATTTTTAAAATTATTTTTAATTTTATTTTTATTTAGAATTAATTATTTTATTTTATAAAAATATAAAATATATTTTTTAGATACACAAATGAGGTATAGGACTCAATTTAAAAAAAGGAGTCTTAAAATATAAAAATATATTTTAATATTATTTTGAGATATTTTATTGAATAAAAATAATAAAAATATGAAAATATTTTTTTAATTCCATTTAAAAAGTAACTATAATAATGCACTCAAATATATGGTATTCTAGTATAAAATAATATAAAAATTAAAAAATAAATTAATATTTCTTATATTTTATATATTTTTAAAAAATTTTATTTTTTATTTGGGTATTCGGGCCAACCCACCTTAAAAAAAATTATTTTTTTGGGCTTGGCCTTAATTTTTTGGGCAGATTTAAATTGGCTCGTCGACCTTAACCCAAATTAATAGCCAGGACCACTAAATTCTAAATTTTCATTGTAGTTTATTGGTCCTTAGATAAAGTTAATTTTTTAAATTAAATGATTAAATTATCCCTAAAGTTTAAAATAATAAAAAAG